CGGTTTATAGTGTTTATTACGTGGTCCACACAATAAACACTATAAACCATGTTGAATTGATCGGAGAATCTTGACATAATACATGTACCGACCTGCTGGTCGGTTGATGGCAGGTTCTATAGCTAATGCACAAATGCATGTAATCTTAATTATTTGCTTGGCATAAAGTAACATCTCTCTTGTAATATGCGGCGCGAACGAAAAAGTGCCTAGCTAGCACTGAGTAAATGTATGCAGGGCAAGTATAGATTACAACTAATATATTCGCATTTCATCGTAATGTTAGATTATATATATGTCTGGATTTACGGAAACAGTGTTAAAGAGTTCAAGCGTTCTCTTTTTTCTCGCCAGAGACTGTCTCCAAAGTAGACAATATAAAAATTAAAAGGAATGAGTCTTTTTTTTTTCCTTTACTCTCTTATCTTCCTTTTGTTGCCGTCCTCTCTCTATTTTTTNTTTCCCTATTATTTTTTTTTTATATTACTTGCGAACCGTTCTGTATGTAACTTATGAATGCAGGTTTACGGTGGTTAACGTTATACCTGTAGCAGTGTACTGTGCATCACTGAGCAGGGATTTTTATCGCTTGGAGCGAAGACCACTTGGAGTTGGAAAATCAAATTACATATGGCTCTTTTGGTGCAAAGTCTTAACGCGGTCTTCATAAATTCAGTCATATATTGGCACAGAATGTCCAAAGTGATCAAGAAATGCACTAGTTTGATTCCAGATGCTTTAGAAAGATCCACAGTAACTCTACACTATCACTTCTTGGCCTTTCCGGGTCATCCAGTCTTGTTCCATTGAAATATAAGTCTGGCTTTATGAAAACAGTGTTAAAGAATTCAATTTAGCATATATTTATTATCCGTTTACAAAAAGGCATAGACAAGTTTAAAAGCTGTTTAGCAGTGATACATTACTTAAAGTGTTCTGTGCTTTAGTTGCTTGAAAGATTTGATAATATTTAAGTCCAAACAGGAGGCTTGTTTTGAAATTGGCGTAAGATCTAGGTTTTTAGTCTTGCCGCTGATTTTGAAATTTTTAAAATCTTGTCTCGTTAAACATAATTGAGATGGTATAAACAGTGTAGTTTAAACGGTATATATCTTGCATTTCTCTGATCTTAACCTTTCAAAGTT